CCCGTGTGTTTCCCATCACTGAGTCACCCATGTGCCATCACCATAGTCCCGTGCACTTCCCTCCCCCCACCATTTTTGATCCCATCCCCCACTCCACCCCCACAAAATGTCTCTGGTATATAGCTGTTCATTATTCTTATTATTTTCTCGCCTGATCCATTATACTCCTGCTATGAGTGAAACCATCGGTATTTTTCTTTCTCTTTCTGGCTTATCTCACTAAGCATGATCTTTTCCAGCTCCATCCATGTTGCTGCAAGAGACATGTGTTTTTTTTTTTTTTTTTGGTTGCTGAGTAATATTCCATTGTATATATTTACCACATCTTTTTAATCCAGTCATCTACTTTTGGGCATTTGGGCTGCTTCCATGTTTTTCCAATTGTAAATAAAGCAGAAATAAACATGGGGGTGCAGGTATCTTTTTCAATCAGTGTTTTTGTGTCTTTTGGGTAAATACCTAGGAGTGGGATTGCTGGGTTGTAGGGAAGCTCCATGTTTAGCAGTTTGAGGAACCTCCAAACAGTATTCCATAGTGGTTGTACTAGTTTGCATTCCCACCAGCAGTGCAGGAGAGTTCCTTTTTCCTCCACATCCTCGCCAACATTTGTGGTTGCTAGTTATTTGAAGATGTGCCATTCTCACTGGGGTGAGGTGGTATCTCATTGTGGTTTTAATTTGCATCTCCCTTATTACGAGTGATGTTGAACATTTTTTCATATGCTTGTTGGCCATCTGTATTTCCTCTTTGGAGAAGTGTCTTTTTAGCTCTTCTGCCCATTTTTTGATGGGGTTGTTTACTTTATTTTTGTTGAGTTTCATCAGTTCTCCGTATATTTTTGTGATCAGTCCTTTATCACTACTTTTGTGTGAGAAAATGTTTTCCCAATTAGTGGGCTATCTGTTTGTTTTTTGTAATGTCTCTTTTGCTGTACAGAAGCTCTTTAACTTGATGTAGTCCCATCTATATATCCTTGCCTTCACTATCGTGGCATTGCGTGCTCTATCTTTAAAGATGTCGCTGAAGTGTATGTCATTTAGTGTTTGGCCCATCTTTGCTTCCAGGTATTTTATAGTTTCCATTCTTATGTCTAGGTCTTTAATCCACTTTGAGTTGATTTTTGTGTATGGAGTGAGGTAGTGATCTAGTTTCACAAAATGAAATGAGATTTTAACACAGTGACAAAATGAGCATGATTCAGTACTGTATGCTTTTCTGTTTAAATGCACTTTCCAGTCCTGTGAAGCACATATTAACCTCTTGATTTTACAGACAAGAGAATAACCGGAAAGCTGGGGGATTTTAATACTTCATCGAAGTTGCTGGTGAGGCCAGCATTTACTGATATGGTTGTCCAGTGCAATAGACAGCAAATCTATCTACTGAGTATGAAACACTATGGAAAGCTAGATTTTGGATGGTAAATAAGGTTTCATGAAGGCAAAGTTGACAGAGGAGTACATTGTTTAAAAGGAAGTGCATGTACAAAAAGAAAAAAAATTGTTAAAGATTTATTTATTTGTGTATACAAAACTGGGGTGCAGGCCAGAGGTACAGGGGTGGTGAGAGAATTCACCAGAGACAGAGTGGGGAGCAGAACAGGCCAACTGTGGAAGTACATTGCTGAGGGTAGCCGTGGGCGGGTTAGGAGAAGTCTGCCCACTATGTGGGTCACCTCCAGGGGAAGTGAGGACTGAACTCATGCGGAAGTGGCTTTAGCTTCTTAGTGCGGTGCTTTAACCCACTGTGCCACCAGGGAGGGCCCACATAAAGAAAATTTTTAAAAACCTATTCAGGGACTGGCAAGGGTCCCAAATGTTAAGGTCTAAAGTTGAACACAGAAAGGCAAGTTAAGGCAAATTATGAAGGACTTTGAAAGACAGTCTTAAAAACTGTCTAAAAAGCTTCATCCCGGTCACCAACGTGGTCTCCATAAACAGGAGAGCAATGCGTGTAAATCTCTATTTCATATTCTCTGTGGTAGTGAAGAGGTCTGAGGGGAGATCTAGGACGCGAGAGGACAGCAAGTGTTTATTGCTTGCTAGTGAATATGAAGGGGAGAAAATCTCCACAGGGCAAACCATCAGAGATTTTTTTTTTTCCTGAGTGTATGGAACAATGACAGTCAAGGACTATTCCATTCGTGAATAATAACCACTAACCACATTAGCACACGTGGGAGTGGGGGAGAGTTCCAGAAGGTGGGGTGAGAAGAGAGATGGTGTTGGAAACGTCTATGGGTACTGAATGGGTTGTTCTCAGGCAAGCTAACCTGACAGGTGAAATAACTCTGCCCTGATTTCTGACCAGAATCACAGGTGGAACTGTTCATTCAACAGGCTAGGAATTCTGTATGCAAATTGAGTTAAGTAGGTGAGGTTAACTGCAATAGGTTGAAGTGCGTTGTTAAATATGTATCTCAGAGCCCTCCCTGGTGGCGCAGTGGGTAAAGCACAGCACTAAGAAGCTAAAGCCACCTAAGCATGAGCTCGATCCCGGCCCCAGAGGTGACCCACATGGCGCGGCAGACCTCTCCTGGCCCACCCACCGCTCCCCTCAACAGTATACCTCACTAGTGGGCCTGTTCTATTACCCACTCTTTCTCTGGTGAATCCTCTCACCACCCCATCACCTCTGGCCTGTACCCCAGTTCTGTATGCATAAATAAATCAATCTTTTTAAAAACAAAATAAAATAAAATATGCATATTTGAAGTTTGTAGATGAAATTAATATATGTAGAGAAGAGAAACCATTTGAGGATTAAAAACTGAAGCTTGAAAATTTGAGCCTTGGGGAAATGTTGGGCGTTAGGGAAAATTCCTTTGTCATTCAGGGAACCTCAAGCAGAACTTGTGCAGCCTCTCCACACCCCCTCTTCCAGCAACTCCACCCAAAAAGTTCAACAAGATCTGAGCAATGCTTTTCTAGTTTTCTCTCAGTCTGTATCTTGTTGTTGTTCCTAAGATACACAATGAACTCAGAAATTACATACTCACCAAACTATGCTGTGCTGACTACAATTGTGCAATATGCAATGGTTATTGTCTTTCAATCTGTTACTAAGGCTACCCCACCCCAATTTTAGGCTTTTAACCCAAACAACACTTTGAACTCTGAAGGTGGAGTGTTTTCTTTCTCTTTTTTTAATCTTGATAAACCCAACCCAATTTTCTCATTGTGGTGTGAGTGTGTGTGTGTGTGTGTGTGTGAGTGTATAACAGGGAGAGGAAAATTTAAGTGGGTTTACAAATTAATCTAAATGGGTATTACTAAGTGCCCTTAACTCAAATGTTATTTTCACTAGAATGCAACTCATTTTAACAGTGATTCATTCAGTAACATATATACTTAGAATTGTAGGTGTGCAGAAAATTTTTAAAATTCCATTTATGAATTGGCCAGTCATTTGCACATCTGCATAACTGTAGGGTTACATTTTTTACTCCCCCCTTGGTTCAGGAGCTTGGTCACCCTCCACCCAACCTCCTGAGTCAGTGCCTGGGAGGACAACTAGGGAAGGCCCCAGAAGCAACACAATGTCAGCTTGGCTTCTTTTAGTAATTCGCTCTCAGTTCATTGCGGGAGAAAGGAATAAAAGGTCAGAAAGAAAGACTTTCATCAGCCCAAAAGCCTAGTGTTTCAGTGGCGGTCACTGTCTTAGGTGTATGATTCACTCCGGCATGTCCTTAACCTTTTTCATGTTCACACGCCTTTGAGTGTGAAACTAAAGTCTTTAAACTCTATGGGCTTTTCTGACTCACTGATGTCATTTTTCCTTTCACAATTTTATTTGTCACCAGTTAGTGAAATTAGTGAATTAAGAAAAAGCATTGATGACAGGTTTCTTATTACTAATGTCATCTCTGGTTCCTATGACTATTCTAACACTGATGGAAAGTTTCTAGACGGGCCAAAAAAATTCAATTTCCACTCCAAATGGATTACTTTGGCCATGAAAAATCTGAAATATGTTAGCACTAATGCTCTTGGCTTTTCCTATGAAAAACAATTCATCTGAAGGAAACCTTCATTTTGTCTCCTGATTGTACTTCATGATATCTTAATGAAAATTCACATGAACAGTTCTGGAATTTTATTGTTTATTCTGGCACTTTCCCTTTATTAAAGTCATGAATGAATCATCCATTATAATATTTTGATGCTGTAGCCAAAAGATTGATGGCTTTTAGGGCAGTTTGTGAAACTATGGGTATGTTGTAGATTTAAATATTTTCTTTCCTACATTTTGTAGGTAATTTGGAAAAGGAGGGTATAACTCAGATGCTTTGTAACCAAGTGGGAAGGAGCGAAACCACATTGAACCTGTCCTGTTACTGATCCCCCTCCTCCCCAGAGGCGGGTCCTCCCTGGCTCTCTCCTTCCCACAGAGAAACTGTAAAACCAACTTCCTACATAAATTAGGGCAAACATGGACCTTCCATCATTCTCCCTCGATGCTGTCTGTGTCCTCCAGACCTCTTAGGGTGCATGCAGGCCACACCTGCAATGTGTGACTTACCTGTCACTTCCGTACCTGAGTGTTCACCTGCCTGCCTTGTGTAGTCTGCCCTTTCACTGAATGACTTCCTTCAACTCAACCCTATGCCTCCCTGCCCGATGTATGCATACCTGACTCTCAGGTGTTTCTGCTACTCAAGTGCAGGTGAAATTCTTCAACTGTGACTTGATACTTTCTCCTTTTCTACTAAAGGCTCTTAGCATGAGAGAAATTCCCCAATGATGTCCACTTGTTTAGTTACCCCAAGAGACTAGTGTAGAGTGCCTAATTGTCACTGTGAAGAGGGTTCCAGGGCTTGGATCAAGCAACTTGGAGGGAAATCAAGCATGGGCTATGAGACTAAACTGAACTTTCCAGAGCATCTTCCACATTTTCTTGCCAATGGGTGGGAGTCTGGGGGGGGGAAGAAAAGATAGGACAGTTACCCAGGGAGCTGACCTTGATTAGATGGTTTATATCTAGTTCTCTTCCTTTTTCAGATGGGTGAGTCAAATGAAGACATAGACCAAATGTTCAGCAATTTGCTGGGAGAGATGGATCTTCTGACCCAGGTAAATTCCTCTTCTTAACTTTCAAACCAGACGATAGTGAGGCTATAAAATTTTATTTTAACAAGTGAACTACTTGTTTGTAATGGAGATTGACAATACTATACACTGCTGATATAACTGTGACAGTGGTGGAGGTGGGGGAAAAGAAATAAAGCTTTTTCTTTAAAAAGCTCTGATTGTTATATGTTGATTTTAGAGCCTGACACTTTGCTGTATTTATTTTTTGCTTCTAATAACTTGGTAGAGTTTTTCAGAGTCTTCTGTCTCTCTGTATGATACCATATCATCTGTGATTAGTGACAGTGTCACTTCCCCTTTTCCTACTTGGATTCCCTTTGTTTGCTGTTTGATTGCTTCGCCAAAATCTCTAGTACTAAATTAAACAACTGATAATAATGGGCATCCTTTTTATTTGTCAGATCTTTCGAGGAAAGTTCTCAGTTTTTCACCATCGAGCATTATATTGGCTGTTGGTTTGTGATCATTTGTCACATTTATTAAGGTCATATCCTTCCCTTCCCAAACTACCATTTTTATCATAACTAGATGTTAAATCTTACCAAATGCTTTTAGCATGATTTTTCTGTGATTTTGTTGATAAAGTGGATTACATTAATTAATTTACATAAATTAAACCATACTTGCATCCCTGGGATGAATCCCACTTGATCGTGGTGTATGATCCTCCTGATAGACTATTGAATTTGATTTGTAGTGTTTTGTTGTAAATTTTTATACCAGTTTTCATTGAGGACATTGGCCTATAATTTTATTTTCCTCTGTTGTCTCGATCAGGTTTTGGTATTAAGGTAATGTTGGCATCATAGACTTTATTAGGGAGCATTTCTTCTTGTATTTTTTTACTTGTATTTTAAAAAAGCCATTTGAGCAAGGTGGGCATTACTTCTTCTTTAGAAGTTTGATAAAATTCATTTGTAAAGTCATCTGGCCCTGGTCTTTTATTTTCCAGTATATTTTTTATTACTCTTGTAACTTCCATGCTTGTGATCTGTTTGTTCACTTGACCTGTTTTCTTGCTGGTTGATTATGTCAATCTAGAAATTTGTCCACTTTCTTAGTGTTACTGAATTCAGTGGAATATAGTTGTTCACATAACCTCTTAAGAGTTTTTTTATTTCTGATCCATCTGGTGATTTTTCCTCTTTCATTTATGATTCTCTTCACTAATATATTTTCTCGAGAATTACTTTTTCTAATTTAAAAAATGTTATTTACAAAATTAGTGGCTTATTTTGGCTTAAATTCCTCTAAGAGTTTTATTAGGTAAGAATGACAGCATAGTATTTTACTGTATAATGGGAGATTGCTTTCCTAAGACAATGTTTATTCTCCAAGTACTAAATATTACTTCCTGTGACCTTATTATGTCCTTATAGAACTAGATGTAACAAATGTGTCACTATAGGACATTTTTGTTATTTATAACTGTTAACTATCTCATTCTCAGTTAATCTGTTTTGTTTCAAGATGTACCTTCTAGAAGGCAACACATACATTAACTAAAAATTGGGTCTAATTCTAGGAAAATGTCAAAGTTGTACTTTTCTAGGGAAAAAATAAGCTGTGTTCTTTTAAAGTAAGTAGTACAGTTTAAAAGAATATACTTAGACAGAAAATATGAAAATAAATAAATCATGACTTAATATTACAGTGCACTGTCAAAAAGTATTGTGATAACTTTTGGGGATGGGATCTGTTTTCACAGAGTTTAGGAGCTGACACGCTTCCTCCTCCGGACCCTAAACCACCCAGTGCTGAATTTAATTATAGTGTGGGTTTTAAGGATTTAAACGGTAAGCATAATAATTTCTTTTCTTAAGATATTTGAAATCATAATAATGACTAAAATTTGTATGGAACTATAATTTGAAAACAAAAATTTTAAAACATGGATTTCAGATTGTGTTTTAATTATAGTTTTCACAATAAGTACAATTTTTAAAGTTCTGAATTTCAGATTTTGTTTTAATTTATCCAGATTGAATTAAGAGGCCAAAAAGATGTATTTGCCTACAATAAAAAGGAAACCTCCTACATTTTCAAAAGATCTTAAAACTATAGTTTTAATTTTTTAAGAAGTAAAAGGAGTTTCTTCTTGTAGAGCTCTAAGGCACATTAGTATCAAAAAACATAAATGATGAAATGTCCCTTCGAGGATAATGCTATTTCATAATGATTGGTAATATATGAACAAATGCTTCCAATATAATATATTTTGACTTATATATAGTTCATATGCTTGCTCTATGTGACATTTTTTACTGTCTCTGAGATAGCCACTGTTTTTTATTAGATAAATTTCTGTCCAAGTGTTTAATTTCCTGCTACTAATGATTATTGCTCCTTCTTTGAAAATCTCTAGAGTTGGGGGGTTGCTACAGGATCTCTGTTCTCACCCTAAGATCCAAGGTCTAATTAACCCAATTAGGTTGAATCTGTCTTTCTTCCAAATATATTTACCATTGGTATTCTGTTTGTACCACAAAGGCCAGGGGAGAATTTTCCATCCATTTCTCTCCCTTACTTTTCTAAAATTCTAAGACTGTCTCAAAATTAACAAGAATTCCCTACTAACACAGCTAATTGTGTGCTTGATTTGACTTTATAGGTAATCTATGAGATCTTCCAATATAGGGAACTATTCCTTTGGGGGGAGGGGTATTATTTGTATGATTGGCAAATAAAAGTATATGATTTGCTATATGTATACATTGTGAAAAAAATTACCTGCCCTGAGTTAATTAACACATTAGTCATCTCACATTCTACTTTTGCAGGCTTGTGTGTGAATATTTAAGTTATACTCTCTTGGAAAATTTTAATTGTACAACACAGTATTATCAACTATATTCACTATATTTTTTATTATCACCACAGACCTTACTCATAACTGAAACTGTGTACTTTTTACCAACCTTCCCCTGATTTCCCCCGCCTCCTACTCCCTGTTACCAGTACTTACATATTACTCTTAAAATTATCTTCTTTCAATGACTGGGGGAGAATAATGGGGATGATGCCTGAGGGGAGAAGTCAAATGCTGTACAAAAATGAAAAACAATATAAGAAAATAAAAAAGTTCAGTCAAAAAATGTATCTTCTTTCAGTTTTTCCCAGTATCCTTGGAATCCTTGTTTTGATCATTAATGTGATTTTCCCAATCAGAGTCCTTAAATGCACTGGAAGACCAAGATTTAGATGCTCTCATGGCAGAGCTGGTAGCAGACATAAGTGAAGCGGAGCAGAGGACAATCGAGGCACAGAAAAAATCCTCTCAGAATCAACTTCCTTCAGTATCTCCGGGAGTATCAACTTGCAGTGGCACAGAACCTCTCGGTTCTGGAACAAATGTTGCTGCAGTTAGTATCAGCCAATGTGAAGATGATCTGCCACCTCCACCAGATGACCCTGTACTAGAACTACCTCCGCCACCATCACCGCCTGAGCCTCTTTCTCCAGTAAGTGATGGTTATATTCATAAGCCTGTGAACCTGGCGCACTGAGATGCCAAAAAACAAGAATACAAGTATGTTCATTGAAAAATCAAAGTCTTCCATAAATGAGACACACAGGTGTGTACAAAGAACACATTAGGGCCATACTCAAGAATTATTCTGGATTGTCTAGAATATATATTTGTACATAGCATTTCCTGAAAATACTCAAACTTGGAGGTAATATTTTATTAAGTTGGTATAAACTGATAATATTATGTTTGTATCTCTGGTAAAAAATATAAAGAGCTTGTTACATATTTTCTGAATTTAACTAAATGGAATTCTGTTGAATTTGGCACCCTTGTTTAAGAGTACAAAGATACATCTGTGTCCCTTGTAATATTGTCAGTGGGGGAAAGTGTTGTGGAGCAGGCAGTTATGACAGCTGGGTACTAAAAATTTCTCGATGGGAAAGTAAAGAGATGGAAAATTCATATAATCATTACTTGGGATACCAACTTATAATAGGTCTTATAAAAGTGCTTCAAAAGCACTTTTAAGGATTTTTTAGAATAATTAAATTTAAAATATGTGAGAATAAGAATCTAGTATTTCGTGTGACTTCTACATTTGTTGTATTATGTGATATTGAATAGTATTTCATAAATATGAGCCTGATAACACTGAAATTCCCATGACTTTTGAATGAACCAAATATTAAATATGAACAAATATCAAGTGTTAAATATATCAAGCAATTTACATGTTATCATACTCACTGCTCAGTTATGTAGTTATTGCTGTAAGAGTGTTTGAAAATGGGCAGTCTATGTAGACCAGAAATTTTTTTATAGAATATTGAAATATAATTGACACATAAGGTGGTGTAAGTTTAAGATGTGCAACATGGTGATTTAAACAAATGTTATTACAAAATTATTGACATCATAAGGTTAGTTAACAGCCCCATCACCTCACATAATTACCTTTGCTTGAGAGAGAGAGAATATTAAGATCTACACTCTCAGAAGTTTTCAAGTACATAGCCCAGTATCATTAACTTTAGTCTTCCTATGGTATCTTAGATCTCCAGAACTTATCATCCAATTGAAAATTTTCCTTCAGCCAAAATGTCCCTCCCCCAAATTCCTGGAAACCACCACCATTGTATTCTCTCTTTCTACGTGTTTAGTTCTTTTGAAATCCACATAAAGTGCAACCATACAGTATTTGTCTATCTCTGTCTGATTTATCTCATTTAGCATGTTGCCTCCAAGATTCATCCACTCTGTCAGAAATGGCAGGATTTTCTTCTTTCTCATGGCTGAATAATAGTCACTCATACACACACACATATATATGAAGACATGCATATGCATGATATATATTGTATTTTCTTTATACATTCATTTGTTAATGGACCACTTAGGTTGTTTCGATGTCTCAGATACTGTAAATAAAGCTTCAGTGAACACAGAAAAACAGATATTTCTTTGAGATAGGGATCTCCTTTCCTTTGGATAAATATCCAGAAATGGGACTGTTGGATCATATGTTAGTTCTATTTTGAGTATTTTGAGGAAAGTCCATATATATTCCATAGTAGCTGCACCAATTTACTCCCCTGACAGTTCACAAGTGTTCTTTTTCTCTACATCCTTGTCAATGTTTGTCTCTTGTCTTTTTTATAGTAACCATGCTAATAAGCAGAAGCTTTTAAAATGGGTCCATGAAGACTTTAAGGAGATCATGATTCCCTGAAAGTGTATGCAAAATTAGAGCATATCTGAACCTTTATGGGCTTCATCACTTTCAACATATTTTCTTTTTTTTTTTTAAAGATTTTATTTTTTATTTGTGCATACAGAACTGGGATACAGGCCAGAGATGTGGGGGGGTGAGAGAATTCACCAGAGACAGAGTGGGGAGCAGAACAGGCAGATCAACGAAGTACACTGCTGAGGGGAGCAGCGGGTGGGTCAGGAGAGGTCTGCCACGCCATGTGGTCACCTCCGGGGCAGGCGGGAATCGAACTCATGAGGAAGTGGCTTTAGATTCTCAGTGCTGTGCTTTAACCCGCTGCGCCAACAGGGAGGGCCTCAACATATTTTCTATAGGGATGGTGGCTCAAAAAAATGTAAAGAACCACTAATGAAAGAAGATATATGTCTGCTTTCTATTAATTAGAATATAACCTGGAAAGTTCATTTCCTCTCCATCATAAATAGGTACAAGAGTCTTAATAATCCTATTCCCAGAGTATTAACTTGCAAAATTCACAGGGCTTTGGGCTCATAAAATATTCCATTCTCTCTTCTGTTAGCTCATGCTTGTCAGGGTTTTTGTTTGTTTTGTTTACTTTTAAATTTGCATTTGGGTTGAAGGCTTAAATTTTGGAATTCCCTTTAGGAACCTAATAAAAAGCTAAGAATCCCAGAAAGTGTTTTCTGGCCCCTAAAATTGCTAGAGTTTCAGGAACTGATATCCACTTACTGATTCCTCAAATTAAACCTTACTTTTGAGCAAGCAGGTATTTTTGTGGTCTCAATATGTATTCTGGTAGAGTCATGATTTCCTCTTTTAACTCACTATTCTAAGATACAAAGGATGAGTATTTTCTATATCTTTGAATATTTTTGTTACAGTCATTTAAATTTTGAAAATTGATCATGTGAAGTGCGTACTCCTAACCATGACCTTTTTCTCAACATACACGAAGATGTTAACAATGGCATGGGTAGTCGTTGCTATTATTCCATGGATTGTATTGAGTATCTTCTTGATGTTTTATAGAAAGAAGCAGAAGCCCAAGCTAAGGCTGATAAAATTAAGCTAGCACTGGAAAAACTGAAGGAGGCCAAGGTGAAGAAGGTAAGCTATGACTCCCTTTTGCATGTGTGGTGACATTTTATTATGCTCAATCATTGACTAAATAAAAATTTCAAGTGGTGTTTTCCAACTTGCTACATTTTTTAAGGACAGAGATGAATTATTCTTTCTGTACCATCAGTGAGCTCATTTGTGTTTGATAAATAAGGGGCACCTGGTAGTACAAACAGGGACATTTCCTAGGCTTTTACATCATTTTTTATTTTACACATTGTTTTCCTTGGCAGCTTCCTGGGACTAGCAGGAATAGAATTACAACCTTCCACGGGAAAGGAAAGAGAAAGCCTTGGCGTGGTTGTTGCACTGGCAGGCACCTTTTCCGCTCTATTTCAAGGCACCTTTTCTGCTCTATTTCAACAAGTGTTAAAGCAAATGTGTCCCCCCAGGACACCCTCCCTCCCCCTTGCACAGGTCCCCCTCAGTTTCTGCTCAGCTCTGGGCTGACCACAGGTGGCGCCACCTTCTGGACCTGCCTTAATTGGGTCAGATCTCTCCTGCCCTCAACCTCCCCTCAGTCTGCATTTTTCATATCACCTGTGGCAGCCTCCACCCCCTTGCCTGCCTTGGATAGCCAGGTATCTCCTGAAGTACCAAAGTTGTTCTGGCTTCAAAGTTGCCTAGGTTTTCAGTGACCACCCCGACCCTACTTTCCCAGGAAGCCTGTAATTTGACTGTGTGTTTGTGTTTCATAGAACATAGGCTTTTTCAGGAACATACGCTTTGTTTTATAACAGAAACACATGTTGCTTACCTCATTAGAAGCATATATCTAGAACAGTTGTGTGAATAATAGTCAATTTGGTAAATTAAGACAGAGATGAAGCAATGTTTCAATTCTTAAAGCATATGCCATCTCTGAGACACATTAAGAAATTTTTAATGTAGAGTTGGATAAATTGTTCTTTCCATGTCGGGCTCTGTGTTCCCAAAGTCTTGCTCACAGCTCTTTGAATAAAAGTGTTCAGAACATGTTGAGCAATGTTCAATAAATACTCCTTGATTCTCCCTCGGTCCAGACCTTCAGGGTTCATCTATGAAAGTCTTTCCAGATCAAACAGGCTCCATTCCCTGCAAACATGTGTCAACATTTTTACATTCTTCCACACATGACAAAATTCCTTAGTTTTTGAAGTTATTTATTTTCAGCTGTCTTGCCCTTCCATCCCCTGTGCTCATCTTGATCAGTCCTGCTTAACCCTCCACCCCACTTGCTCAGCACCTGAGCCTTCAGTCCTGTCAGAGCCTCCCCCATCCAAACCCTCTCCGATTAATCTAAAAAACTATTTCTCTCTCGTCCCTCTTTCCTCATCCACTTTCTCCCACCCAATCGCTTCACTGCCTTCATTCAGAGAAAACAGCACTCAGAAGGAAAGCGCCATGAGCTCCCGTATTCCACCTCCCTGCCTGCTGCCTGCGTGTGTGACACGTGGTCCCTCCTCTTTCGTGTCACTGTGGCTGAGCTGCCATGTGCCTTAAGCAGCCTCTCCTCACGTGTTCCTAGTCCCATCCTCTCCTGCTGGACCTCCTTTACTCAGAAGCCTCCACAGTGCCTCATCTCACATAACAAAATCAAACCCCCCACATAGACTGAGCCTGCCTACTGTGGCTCTCCCTCTCTCACCCCTCCTGGCGACTTGTCTCCCTGCTGCTCTCCACATGCCCCAGACACTCCTGTTTTTTGCACTTTGCTGCCCCCTTGCCTTAAAAGCTCTTCTCTTTACTTTCTTTGCCTTGGGGGATGAGTCTTTAAAAATGTTACTGAGATGTATGTCTTGTAGCGTTTTACCTATATTTTTCTTCTATATATTTTATGGTTTCAGGTCTTATGTTCAGGCCATTTTGAGTTGATTTCTGTGCATGGTGCAAGGTAGTGGCCTACTTCCATTCTTTTGCTTATGGTGGTCCAGTTTTCCCAGTGCCATTTATTGAACAAACTGTCCTTGTTCCATTGCATATTCTCTGTTCCTTTGTTAAAGATTAGTTGTCCGTACATATGTGGCTTTATTTCTGGGTTTTCTGTTCTGTTCCATTGGTCTGTGTCTGTTTTTGTTCCAGTACAATGCTGTTTTAATGATTATGGCTTTGTAGTATAGTTTGAAGTCTGGGAGTGTGATACCTGCCAGATTCTGAGGGGGTTTCTCTGTTCTTTCTCTAAGTCTGATCACCTGCTCACAGGGGCTTCTCCTCTCTGGCTTGTACACCCAGCCCCCGTACTTCCTACCTTCCCTAAGTTTTCTCCTCAGTGCTTATTACCATCTACTTTTCTTGTTTATTGTATTCATTTGATGCACATCCTCCACACACATTAGAAGCTACTTCAGGGTTTTTTCTGTAATCTCAACTGGTGCATCCTCATCTTGCAAAACAAGGATATACAGAGGGTAAGCAGTCAGGCATTTTAAACTCTGCTTGTATAGAGTTAAGTATGCAGGAGAGATAAGTGTTAATTAAAACAGGAAGAAGTAATAGAGTGAATGACCTGGTGGTCAGGGAGGTCTCTCTAAGGAGGCAGCATTTGAACAAAGATCAGCAGCAAGAAGACACCAGCTCCTCGTAGGTGTGGTGTGGGACCTGCAGACAGGTGAATTCTAACTGTGAACACAAGCACAGGCTGCCTCGAATCTATAAAGAAGATGCAAATAGACGCCATTCTGATCAGCAGCGAAGGAAAGTAAGAAGAACAAGTTATAATCGTTTCTGACAATGGACAGACAGTCCAGATGTATTTTTTAAAGGCTATATGTGGCACAGAACACACACACAAATACAATGAAGAGATAAATGTACATTAGTCAAATAAGCAAGATGCTTTCACACTTTTCAAAAAGTTGGTAACCAAGTCTGCTCAAAGTACTTTGCCCTCAAGTGTTCTGTAGGGTGTTGATATCACTGTGGGTTATGGGTGCAGTACATGGCACGTGGCCAAAGCTTTTGGAGCTGGAAATAGCATGGTCTTATTCTCTTTTGCAAGGTTGCTGTTTTAAAGTTATAGGACACAATAGAACAATTCCATTTATAAATTTTATAGTTAAAGCAAAAAAATTATAAAAATATTGCAAATGACACAGGAGTAGAATATTCTTGTGTTTAGCCTGCAAAAGAAAAGGAAGGGATTTCTTTCCATCAGCAAAAACAATGGCTTGGGTCAGGCTTTCCTGAAAACGAAGTGGCAGAAGCAAATTTTGGAAAAATGGGGCATCTGTGAGCCAGAGAACCGTCTCAGAGAGACTGACTCGCAGAGCGCAGACTTTTTGAAGACAGGCCCTTTCATCCGCTCTATATTTGCCTGGAACAGATGGCCGAAGATGAGGAAGCAGCCAACACACAAACAATGGAGGAGGAAGACAAGTGATGGACAGGGAGACAAAGGAGGAAGCAATAAGGTGGCGGCAGAGCGGACACCAGACTCGCCTCTTCCGTGTCCTCACAGCTGGATCACAGCAGAACCAAGCCAGACCATGATGGAGGGGGAAGAGGGGGAGGGGAGCAGGCCCTGCCAGGGCCCCAAGTGCAGCAGGCCAGCGGCAGCAGGGCCGGCGGAGGTCCTTGGAGCCGTGAGTCAGAGGGAAAGGAGAAGAAGGCAGCCTGCGCACAGGAGTGGGACCTGACTGTCCTTGGGCAGTGGCCGTGCATGCACTTCAGAAGACCTGACACAGAAGATTCGTGTTTCACCAAACCAGAAATGGGTGGAGGGAGGAACCTCGGGGTTGTGGCCTGGAGGAGGGGACTCTGGTGGCCGGGCTGTGGGCTCAGCCAGAGGCTCTGTGGAGAAGGAGCAGAGGGCACGTGACAGCACATAGCCCCAAAAAGGGGACTGGTGGAGGAGTGACACGAGGCTGGGGTCCCACAGAGAAGCAACAGAGCAGGTATTCTAATCCTCTCTCCCCTTCCCACCTTCTGGGGCTGGTACTCAGCTCAGACAGCACACGGAGAGATTCTGAGGCGCTGAGCCTCACACCAGAGAGGAGTGTCAGGGTGCCACCAACTACCAGCCAGCCCGGCACCCACATCTCAGCTCCTCCCAGGCCCTGCCCTGCCTGCACCGCAGGCACAGGCCGCAGATTTCAGCACGTACTGGAGCCAACCAAGGCCAGTGTGAATAACCAACTGTGTGAAAGGTCAGAACACTGAACCTCCTAAGTTACTGATAGAGATATTAAAAAGGAAAATGAAATCGAGACACTGCAAGTAGAGAAATGGGAAGACGAAAATTATGACACATGGAAATGTGAGGTCTCAGGACAGTGTAACTTCCCATAGTGAGAACAACTCTCCAGAATCTAAACAGCAGATTCTAAACAGAATCTAAACAGAAGATGGAAGCGTGTATCTCCTTATCAGGTAGAGAGCTGAAGCACGCAGTCGAATGAAAGCTAACCAGACTACGGATTCGCCTGCAGGCCTCCTCCGCAGTGGCGTGTTCTCAGCCGGCGTTCACCTCTCCTGCTCCACCTCCATGTCAGCCATGGGCCAAGCCGCCTTTCATCAGCCCCTCGGCGATGCTCAGCGGTCCTGACACTCTGCCTTCACGGCATTGTACACTAACCACCTTGTGTCAGAAGCATCGAGTTGCATGAAATGAGACCCTTTGCAGCTGAGCAAATGAGAAAAAAATAGTATAAAGGTATGGACATGGCGTTAACCAGAAATGCTTCTGGGTTGCAGGAGTAACAGAGAGATGGCAGGAGAGCAGAGCGCCAGCACCTCTTGGTTCTGCTTCTTTTCTGTCTCCCCCACTGGAATACAGTACAGTCTCCAAACCTGGAATTTTTTTTTTAAGATTTATTTATTTATGCATCCAGAACTGGGGTACAGGCCAGAGGTGCAGGGGTGATGAGAGGATTCACAAGAGTGGGGAGCAGAGCAAGCAGATCAACGAAGTACACTGCTGAGGGGAGCAGTGGGTGGGTCAGGAGAGGTCTCTGTGCCATGTGGGTCACCTCCGGGGCCGGGGATCGAACTCGCACTGAGGCAGTAGCGTCCCCTTGCAGTGCTGCGTCCTAACCCATTGTGCCACCGGGGAAGGCCCCAAACCTGGACTATATTGTGTATTTTTCTGTTTTTGTGAGTTGTTTTCTCCACCTCTATAGCCCTAGTAGCTAACACAAGTGCCTGGGCTTGGAGGGAATTCATGTTGAGTGAGCTTGAGGTTCACATTCTTACTTCAGTTCACAGGAACTGTAGCAATACAGCCCTTGACTGTCGGGCTTCTTCCATTGGCTGAAGTTTACCAGCTTCTCTATGGCTTTCTCCTCAGCTGGTCGTCAAGGTGCACATGAATGATAGCAGCACCAAGTCGCTGATGGTGGACGAGCGGCAGTTGGTCCGAGACGTTCTCGACAACCTTTTTGAGAAGACCCACTGTGACTGCAACGTAGACTGGTGTCTGTATGAAATTTACCCAGAACTACAAATTGGTAAGTCCCATCCCAGCAGAACTCCAGACCCGTGTGTTCACTTTATTATGGCTCAAAGGTGCAGAGACTTCCTGTCTTTCACTTCCCTCGCGTCAGACTCACTGCCTGCCTCTTCATTTCTTTGTGGGGAAGACACTCAGGTTGTACAGGTGGCCAGGCCTTGAGGGGGTATCAGCATTATTACTGCTACTTCCCCAGGGAATCTATAAGAGAAACTGATACTTTTTACTGCAGGCGTAGTAAGCAAAGCAGATTATGGGAAACCTGGGTATCGGTCAACAGAAGTGCCTGGAGTTTACCTTTCAACTGTAGCTAACGTAATTATGCCACAGGCCTCACGTCACTGGTCATTTCCTCTTCTCCCCAAACCATTATTAACCTAATGTCCGACACTTTGTCTAGCTGAGGAGGCTCAGCCCTGAAAAGCAAAAGACAGATGGTCAAAATTGATGGAGTCAAAAGGAAAAAAAGCAGAAAGCAATACTGTGTTTCCTCTCACTCTTAAAGCTGCTCACAGAACAGCCTCCCGGAGGCCTGGTGAAATCTAGAATCGCTTCTTTTAGAAGATTTAGGTGGAAGTTCTTCTTTCTGGAGGCTGTGGACACTGTACAATGAACAGCCCCTGGCCTCCGCTTCAACTCCCTGAGGCAACAGAGAAAGGAAAGTCTTCCTAATGTTTAGGTGTGGTTCAGACACTCCCACCTGGTTTTAGAGTTTAGGGAGTGATGTTTTCTTATCATGATGAGTTCTTATCATGCACCTCAAAACAGTTGAACCAGGCACTGTGTCATTGTTTTACAGAGAGGCTCTTCACCTCCACCTGGAACTGTCTCAAGTCAAAAATGTCATTTGAAAGAAGTGCAGCCACTGAGCATTCTCACTGTAGTGCAGTTTCTGTTGCTTTTTTTTTTTTAATGAAAAATAAGCCAGAGACCTGAAAGAAAAAGTAAATTCAACAAGGATGTTACAGAGTGACATCTTGCAAGAACTAGAAATTTCTAAAAACTGATTAGAAGTGTGAAGCATTGCATTTTCATCAACATGAGCTTGTTTCTTAGAAACCCTAACACCTGGGTTCTGAATGAAAACGTTTCTTGTCTCATCAGAAAGGTTTTTTGAAGATCATGAAAATGTTGTTGAAGTCTTATCAGACTGGACAAGGGACACAGAAAATAAAGTGCTATTTTTGGAGAAAGAGGAAAAATACTCTGTATTTAAAAACCCCCAGGTAAGGTCATTTGTATATTATTAAATCATATAAAATATAGCTGATTTGTTAATGTCACTCATGTACTAACCACATCATTCATTATCTTACAAAATTCACAAATACATTTCTTTCAAATGAACACAGATTCAAGGGCTGGAACATATGCAAAGTAAAAACCCTTTAAAGGCTTTTTCTATTGTTAATGATGTGTCATTATTTTATATACTGGTTTGTTTTTTCTCAATATAGGTTCCCTCCCCTCAGGTGTGCTCACCATAGTTCCCTACACAAAGCACCCATAGTCCTCCACCATAGTCCACTTGTTATAGGGCACCCCAAATCTGTTCCAGAACAGGGGGAGGGAGGGGCACCCCTGAAGCCCCAAAACCTGCCTGCTCTAAGTGGGTTCTGCCATCCGCCGCAACAAGACAAAACATATAAAACTTCAATGAAAAGGGACGTTAATACAGTAAATATACAATACGGAACACAAAGAATATAACTTCTAAAACTCCTGAAGTTACCCATCCCCTTGTGGGCAAAAGTCAACACAAAAGGGATTGGCCCAAAGCAAGGCCTGAAAGCTGCCACAGGACTAAAGCACCTTCTGGGCGGGACCCATGGAAAAGGGTCAGAAATGGCCAGACAAATCTGGGAGGAAAAGAGCAACATCAAAATCAATATAAACACTGCCATAGTCACCTCCCTACAGGTATCTCACCCACATCTGCCTTAACCAATCCAAGGTCAGGAAACAAGCACGGTTTCTTCATCACATGCTTGCTACTCCATATGGCTTCCTTAGGTCTCCGTCTTGTTCTCCATCCAGCCTCATTCCCTTCTTCTCTCTTCTCCTTCTCTCTGCTCAGCTCCACCCTCCTTCTGGGTGGGGTAGGGAACCTGGAACTTCCCTTTTTCCTAGGGACCACCCTGTTACACACTCTTCTTCTCCTGCCTTCTCTCCTCTTCTCCTCCTCCCCTCACTTCCTGGATGCCTCAGATCTGTTGTGGGCTTCCTTGAAAGAGTCTTAAAGAATCCACTTAATGTCTTTAGATTCAGCATTCAAAACAACTGTTGTGCCTTCCTGGTGACCTAGGGGTTAGGTCTCAGAGTTATCCCCACTACGGCCTGAGTTCAAGCCCTGGCCAGGAAGCTGACCCAATGACACAGCAGACCTCTCCTGTCCCTCCCACTGCTCCCCTTGGCAGTAAATACGCCTGCTTTGCTCCCCACTCTGTCTCTAGTGAAACCTCTCACCCACCCCCCACTCCTCTGGCCACACTACAGTTCTTCTATGCCAAAAAAAAAAAAAAAAATCTGTGACTAACTCCTCCTCCTATTTTTACTTCTGTTTGGCTACACTAATCCAATACACCTTGATATACTGATTTATTAATGCTTCCTATTTTAAGGATACTCTTGCCTTGGTTGTTCAATTTTACTGCCTGTGGCACTGGGATAGAGAAAAAGAGCAGTGAAAATGTACGATTTGTTATATTTTAATTCAGAAACAGGCTACGTAATAAAAAGCATTGTCCTTTTTGAAAATACTTCCTTTAAGTCATGAATAATATATGTACAGTGAGAATCTGGGAATTGTATTCAGGACCACCATGTTGCAGAACGTCTCAGGTGACACCTTTGACCTTGAGTATAAAAGTAGCATCCAGGGGGCCCTCCCTGGTGGCGCAGTGGGTTAAAGCACAGCACTGAGAAGCTAAAGCCACTTCCGCATGAGTTCGA